CTGTTAGATATGTAGGAGCTGCTGCTTCGCCTTCCTCAATGGAAACATTTGCAAGACGTACCAAAACCATCGAAGCTGTGGCTTCTCAATCTGGAGAAGCAGGGGCTGTACATCAAGGGTTTCTCGGACATCTGTACTCCGTCTCATGTCGAAACGTACGAATCCGGCGATTCGGTTCAGAAAGCCAATTAAGCCGCTTCTTCGGGGTCGATGCTCCGTTCTAATCAGAACGGCTGGGGCTGGTTCACACATAACGCCTTGGCCATTACAGTCCGACGGTCGATCTCTTCCTCCAATTTTCCATCACTAGTAAGCACGACTCCGAGGTACTTGAACTTTTCCACTTGCTCGACTGCTTCTCCGTTCATCTGAAGAGGGCAACGGGCAGGAGAACGAGAAAGCACTAGGCTTTTCGTTTTGGATGCGTTCATACGCATGTCGTTTATGTCGTACTCAGCACTGAAGCTGAGTTTCAGAAAATGCCAACAAGAAAACCTCGTCTGCAACCCGCAACCTTCTTGTTTCCACGTCACCCCTACGCTGATACACTCGTAGCAACTGGCAATCGATCATATACGTCTGTAGGCACGTCCAAAGGCTGTCGCGCGGGTCCCGGCTGTAGGCATTTTTCAGGTGAATAAAGTGAAAGTAAACTTAGTGAGCGAACCTCCAAGATTTCTCAACTATCTGACATAAAGAGAAAGTCTGATTAGAGGTGGCTGAGCCTGACCTGAAGCGATACTGCTGCTATTTTGTCTTAGTAGTCTGCTATTTTGCGGTTTCTCCTTTCTGACGTCTTCACATAGAATTTTTCTTGGATTTCAGTGTGGTAAATCTCTGACAATTTGAATACTCTTATGACATCTATTTTTGGCAGAGATTGCTACTATCCTCGTTTTTCATTCCACTGGTTTATTCTCTGTAGCTATTGCAGTTTTACAGAAATGGGTTAGCTACAATATGTCTTGTTCTCCATAAAGCTTTAAAGATTTCAAGACAGATTTCATTGATTCTTGGAGCCTGATCAGTTTTCAAGAACTTTACAGCTTCCGTGATAAAGCTTTTTCATCTAATAAAGCCCTAATATCCGCTGCTGGTTGTTATTCACTCGAGTCTTCCTGCGGTTACCCCGGGTTAATGAGTTCCTCTAAGTAGTCTTTCCTTCGCATGTCCTCTTCCTTGACGAAAAGGACTCTCAGACTTCCCTTTCCATCTCGGAGGGAAACGATGGCGTACTAGGATAATTTATTTTCTGCGTAAAATTTCGATCCAGTATTGCACCGAACTTCTCAAAGGAATCGGTTTCCGTTGCTCCGTTGAAAGCTTCTTATTACCTCATTCGAGTTGAAGGCTCTTTGCTTCTAAGCTACCTTTTTATTGCAGCCTTATTTTCGTTGATAGCCATTTGAACTACTGGTGTCCATCAGGATTCTTGTTTCCGACCTCCAGGCGGCAGGCCAAACCGTTTTACGCCGGAGTTCGAAGTGTTCGCGGTAGCTCAGAATAAGCCACTTTTAAGGAGCTTTTATTCGATTTCCATATTAGCGCTAATCACTGGGGTCTGTGTCCAATAATGTTTGTAAGTTTCGCCCTCATATCTGCCGGAAATGTTTCCCATTTGATTCTTTCGCTGTGCTTTTCGTCATCAGGTCTTCGCATGGTTCTCTGCCGTTTACAGCGGATGACACCGACAACAATGGGACGATCATTTGACGGATTTATGCTTCATTTGAGGCGAACATTCATTACAGAGCATCGTAAGTCAGACGATATAATTATCAAAATCGATCATCGGTTTATGTACAGAAGTTTCCGTATAAAAGGCACAGTGATAGACATTCCGATTTTCGCTGTAGGTGTTCATAAGAGACTGTCTGCAGAAAACCGAAAACCGGCTTCATGCCGTCATTGTTGAGGTCGCTACGACCATTTTTCTGCTTTTCATTGTCTGCTCCTATACGGCATTAAAATCGTCCATTAAAATGATGAATTTTAGTCGGCAGTTTGTACAGGCCACCTTCTACTTCCTCTAGGAAAACCACATTTCCTCCCACTGAATTTGGACCACTGATCTTGAACAACATCTGAGCTTTAGCCTGTTGTAATTTTAATCAGATGATTTTTACTCTTCCGCACTCAGGCTTCTATTCGACGATTCTGTCATTCATGTTGGGTTTTACCAGAAGAGCAACACCAGCATGAGCATGTGTCGTGGAGTCGACATCCGAGCTGAATAGCTTCCACCCGCAGGGCTTCAATATTCGAGGGCCCTGACGCTTCGCTAGTGAGAGTCTGACTATGCACTGTCACTACCTCGCGGCCTCATTAACTAGCTCCTGTCTTTTCCCTCTTAGTGTTATATTCAAATTTCTACCTCCGGGTTCCCACTCTCGGTATCGTTCTTCTTAAATGTTGTCTAGCGTGCTATAATGACATAACGCTGTTTTCCTCGTCCGTTTCTGAACAGGTGGCGTCTCCGCTGCTAGCGAGCGAGCAACAAGTTCTGATCGCTGGTCTTTTGCACTCTGCCTCAATTTCCTAACAGCCTGCATTGCCTTTGGTGATCCGGACCACGACCGAGTCGATATAATGTTCGATTACGGCAGTATCGTCTGAGGTAGGTGGCCAAGGTTTGAGGGAGACATAGGCATAGTCCCGACCCTCCTCGTTTCTCATCCGACTTTAGAACCTTCAACGGCGGAGTTATAATTCTTTTCAGCAGATAATGCGCATGATGCAGAGTCAGTCTCGAAAATATACGAGTACAGCAGTAACAAAGCTATGGCGTTCAGAAATAAAATGTACTTGCATGTAGCCAGTTTGTCAATTTGTCAATTTGTCAATTTTTCTTTACTTGTTCTCAGGCCGTAGGTGCATGAAATATTTAAAATGAACACAAATAGCAAATTGGAGCAGTTCTGAAAGAGTGGAGGAAATAGCAACAATAAGCCAAATGTCGTTCGGATTTGCTTTGTGTGGTTGCCTTTTGTCGCGGGGAAAATCTTGGTGAGTTTTGAACATTGAGTAAAGACGTCAGGGAACAAAATGATAAAAATTTTTAAGCATTACAGGGAGTGCATGATTTTAGTGTAATTGTAATTTTATTGTAAAGCCAAAACCGCCGCATATGTGGCACAAAACCTGTAGAATCAGTTGAAGATATCAGTGTTGATGATCTAATAGAAGGACTGAATTAACCTGCAGTGAAGATCTGAAGGAAATCATTTTTACTTGGTTTTTTGTAGCAAGGGAAGAGTTTTTGCAATAGAATTCAAGAACGAAATGTGAAGGACTTGTAATTGCACCAGTGCCAAGACAGACTTAGCAGAAGCAGAGTATGAGTTTGACTCAGATGCTTAATTTCGGCAGTTTGAAGCAAAGGCATTTTAGAAATTTCGAGAACTTCGAAATTTATTTTCCTACAGTGCAAGCAAATGAGAACTCAAAAGGATGCGCCATAACCTTGTAGAAGCTTTTTCAAGAGAGTTGATCATGTTTTACGCAGCGTTTATATGCTTGCTGGCATCATCAATCAGCTGACGAAAGTGAGAGTTTTAGAAGATCCGTCAGCCATGAGGGCGTATTAACTAAATGGTCTTGATTTATCGACGAAGTCGATGCATACAGCGAAAAGAGTGCTGCACAGTGGGATATTGATAAACATTAAATGATCTCAGAATGGCAAATAATACAGTGATCTAGATCAGCCGAAGAAGGAACTAAATTGCTGAAAATGGTAGTTGTTTGCAACCAAGAAATATCACCTATGTTTCAATACATCCACGTTGACGGTTGTCATACCAAATGCTGGAACCATTTTTTAGAAAATAGCTCAAGTTTCCAGCTATCGCTATTAGATTATCGTCCCAAAAGTGTGCAACCATGTTTTAAGGGTATGCATGATGCAGTTTGGTTTAACATAAAAAATAGACGCATTTCACAGCTGTGGTGTTCAAAAATATTTCAAAAATCGTAGCCAGTAATCTTGAATTCGATTTCTCGAACAACCTGAAAATCAATCTCTGACTAGCAACACGCTCATAAGAATTCAAACAGAAGTAACGCTGCATTGATAAGTGATAAGGTCCTAGTTCGAACAAATAATGAATATTAATTCCTGCTAGACAAGTAAATTATTCATTAAACACTTCTTTGAGCCGTCTTCTGACACAGAAGTGCATCTACTTTCGACAGGCTTCGATCTGAGTACTTCATCTGATTTTATGTTGAAGAACAGAATTCAGAAAAATGCTATACGGAAATAAAAGTTTGCTAATTAATTCTTTTAGTTAAAACAATTCAGCATGGAATTAGTTCAGTTCAGTCCTCAGTTTTTTAGACTTACTTTCAATGAATAACATTTGCTTTGCAATTCCGAATATACGCAAGGGCACACGTTACACTTTAGAAGATTGGAAACCAGTCCAATGGAGGGTGATAATCTGGCTGAAATGAGTTTAAACATCAAAATCAAGAATGTAATTAAGTAAATAAAATCTCTACCTATTACAACTAGTTTGATAGTCAAGATCAACCTCTCTTTATCGTAAGACACGTTGTAAAACTGTGGTCAGGTATAATTACAGCTGTTTGATATTTCATTTTACTAGTTTCTGCTGTCTGGTTCAGTTAACATTTTTTCAATTAATTTTACTCTCATTAGCAAAACTACAGCTTAACTTCGAGGAACATGCTGGCAAAAACCAAACAGTGTAAATGAGCATTTGCCCCAAGCTAATGAGAGATAAGTTCCCTGAAATTTTTGGATCATGTGATATGCCTTTAGAACTTGTGTTCCGATAGATTTAAAGAGAAGTTTATTCTACTGGAAACAATGCCCATCACTACAGCTGTGGTTACTACTTTTTCGCCTTTCACCCACAAAATCTAGCTGTTCAGCTTCGTTATAAGATCATCCGTTATGTTGCTGCGGCTTGGTCCTGAAAATGTCAGGTATCACGAAGCACATCATTCAAATATGAGAATGTTTTCGTTTTAATATCGTATTGTTGCGCGTTGTATTGCTGACCGTGTTGTTGCGCCTACGAGAGGTGTTGCATCACTGTAGCGAAGCTAGGCTAATCCCCTTGTGCATTAATTGCAGTGGGTATTCCTCCATTGCGTTTTTTGAAAAGGATCGTTCTACCATCAGTATGTTCCAAGGTACTCGATACCATCGATTCTTGGTAACTCGGTTGCAGACAAAAGCGAAGCACTGTCGATGCTTTGGCCGTGGTAGTCAACACCATTCCACTTAGCAGTGACAAACGAAAACCGCCAGAACTAGGCACCCTCCTCGAATATAGGTCGGCATTCAACAGATTGCCACAAGTTAAGTTAAGCTTATTAAATTTTTTCTGGACACATGGCTGTGACTGCCGGTTGTCCATTTACTTGCCAGGTACCATTTCAAACTCCGCTAGCATCAATATGTGAT